CAAATACATATACAAATGTATACACATACACATACGCATACACATACATATATCCATACACATACACACATAGAATTATTCATTCACATACTTGCGTGGCCTGCCTCGCTTGCGCTTGTTCTGCGCATCTTTCTCCAGCTGCTTGGCTGCCCGTTGCATAGCCTCCTCCACCGTCAACGTGCGCTGATGCGGCAGTTTCCTGGGACTGCCCCTATCCCTTGCTCTCTCCTTATCGTTATCTCTGCGTATCTCCCGATCGCTTCTCTGCGTACGTCCGTTCTCATCCCCGCCACTCGTCTGCTGCCGCTTGTACTGCTTGGTACGCTTGTCTGCCCCTGCCCCTGTAAATTTGCGCCCACTTCCCGAGCCTCGGAGATGTTCGGTACGTTCTGGGGTGTGTTTAGTGTCGTCCCCACTGTCTGCGTCGCTGTCATCGTTGTTGTGCGGCGGTGTACCGTTCTGCCCCTCATCGCTTCTCTGTTGAGGACAGTAAAGAGTGGATGTTTTAGGGTTTAGGGTTTAAGTGCACGGTGAGTGTGCATGGTAGTATGTGCGTGGGTGTGGGTGTGGGTGTGTGGATTGTTGGATGTGTGTATAAACGTCCGCGTATGCATGAGGGAGTGTGTGTGTGTGTAATATTGGATGTGTGTGTGAATGTTAGTACATTTATGGGTGTCGGTATGTATGTATACGTTGGTTTATATATACGAGTATCGGTATGTGTGTGCGCATGTTTGTATGTATGTGGGAGTGGATATTGGTACGCGAGCGTGTGTGTGTACGTATATGTGTGAAGAAGTGCGTGTTGACGTACGCATATGATATAGTATGTCTAACTGCCGAGGTGTTATTGTGTGTGCATGCGTGTCTGTATGAAACATATGTGTTCAAATGTAGAAGTTCATGTCTATTTGCCCCAAGCTGCAGGTACAAATTTTTACGCACTTATCGAATATACGTTTGCATGCAACTGACCCAGCCTCGCTACATGTACATATATAGTCATATATAGTCATCTATAGTCATATATATATATATGTATACGACATCTATGTACGAACCTCCGACTCAGCTTCCCAGCCGTGGCTGTCCTCAGGATGCACACCTCTGCCAAGTCTCCTGCCCATCCCTTTGTCCACACTCTTATGCATGCGTGCGTTCTCTGTACGGCCATAAGAACCCTCTCTACGGCTCTGTTTTCTGTGTGATGTCTCTGAGAGCCTTCCCTTGGACGCGCCTTTCGCAGCATTGTTTACCATGGTCTGAATACAGATTACATACGTGTGTGTCATATGTATATATAACAATGGGTTGCCTGTGCAAGCGTACGCAGTCTTCTAAATCACAGCCCTGGTATGAGTTTCAGAGGTTAGTGGTGCTTGGTACCCCGTAACCCTAATATAATGGCACGAGAAGACTATTTCGCTTTTCTGACTTCTAGATCCTAGCACAGTCTTAAACTATATATATATACACACACACACATACACACACACACACACACACACACACACACACATATATATATATATATATATATATATAAATCTTAGGTTCTATATAGAGTGATATATAGACCTTCAATGGCTTTAAGCAATATATAAGTCGATACCTACTTTCCACACACACATCCACGGTATTCGTGCGATAAGGTCTATTTGTTCTTAACACTCGCTGCCGACCTCTACGGCGCACCTCAGAATGACATTTGCCCTGGTGACACAATAACAAACAAACAACACACTTACACTAAACTAGCACACAGACACATACATTCCTACTTAGGTAATCACTGGTGAAGTATACTTACGGCCGATTGTTTTTGCGTCTGAAATACGCAGGCTTTGTCACACACAAGCGCGAATCAGGCACATGTACACGAGTATCTTGACATAATATCAATTAACCTGGTACACTCACAGCCAGGTACTCATGCATCAACAACACTCTCTGTTACAAACATACAATGATATCCTCTGCATTCATATCAATCAATACAGTACACTTACATATTTATATCAATCATTACAGTATACTTACATATTCATATCAATCAGTACATACACTTACATCTATCAATCCGTACAGTACACTTACATATTCATATTAATCAGTACAGTACATTCACATATTCATATCAATCAGTACAGTGTACTTACATATTCATATCAATCAGTACAGTACACATACATATTCATACCAATCAGTACAGTACATTCACATATTCATATCAATCAGTACAGTACACTTACATATACATATCAATCAGTACAGTACATTCACATATTCATATCAATCAGTACAGTATACTTACAGCCAGTTGTTCTTGCATCCATAGCACACTCGCTCTGTCGCCCACACTGGCAGCCTCTACCTCTGCATCGTCTTCGGTATCGCTTTCATCCGCGTGCTCTCTGTCGTCATGTTCGTGTATGTCTTCATCTACACGAGTTTATTGAAAGCATTGTATTAAGATAAATATATGCTGTACGCAAATACAAACATATGAGTGTACATAACTACGGATATATGTGCATATACGAGAATGCAAACACAAACAAAACGCAGATGTTCGAACATGTGCGAGGGCAACGAAGATACCTCACGTCTGATTTGATGCAATGTCATTACACCGTTCACGATTCGTAAACATTCAAGTAGAAATGCGAGATTGGATATAGAAAAGCACAGTTTGTTGTGGATATAGATAAGTGACAAGAGTAATTCTGGATATGACTCTATTTTCCCTCGTACGATTCGATATATATATCAAAGAACAAACATAATCTCTATACGCTTGAAGGTACTGCATAAATATTAGAGTACGCAAACACACGGGCATTTCCTAGCTTACGAATACACAGATTGTCAGTTAACTGTGCATCATAACATTTACATAGATACAACTACATACATGAGAATGTAGATACATACGCTCTATGTACACACACACACACACACACCCACACACGCACACGCACACACACACATACACACACACACACACATATATATATATATATATATATATATATATATGTGTGTGTGTGAGTAAGGCAGATTACTGATTTTGATCCTACCATATTCGGATGGTTTCCCTCGAGAAGTTGCGCGCGTTCTGTTGCCTTTTACACGTTCGTCTCGCTCTGAACCAGAGATCCCACTGTTGCGACGGGTTCGCATATCGGCATTTGATGTGTATTTCAGATATATGTTAAATATCTCGATTTCCTTGCGCTAACTGGTATGTCCTCCCATTAGCAGAGCCTACGAATAGTCTCTTGGAATACTCACTACGGGCCTAATAGTAACTATATACCAGGGACACGCACTCTATTTGGCTTTATAGAGTTACACGTAAGTATGTATTTAGTCGACTTTAGCTTTTTAGGGCCGGCGCTGGGAGCAGTGTCATGTCAAACCATGTTCCTTTTACAATGACGGAAATCCCGCCTTTTCCACACGATTATTGATGACGTAATCTATGCAATATTTCAGTTGCACTTATTTAATATAACGTGTTTTTGTTGTTTTTAATAGAAAAAAATAATATATTTATATTTATACATGTATATCAGTCCAGCTCGATTGTGTTTACGACAAGCCGCTAATTTGAAGCATTTATTTTTAGCGCCTGTTTTTAATCCGAATCAGAAGCAATTTTGATGGCCGACGATCAAAAAACAAAAAACTTCTCTTGTTCATCGCCTCTTTGTCAAGAAGGCGATGTCATGTTGCGTATATATAGTTTATATGATCGAGACAGTCTCTGTAGGTATCAGGATTCATCGATACAGTACGGCGTGTTTTCGTGATATATGATCGAGACAGTCTCTACAGATAGCAGTATTCATCGATACAATACGGCGTGTTTGCGTGTGTATATCTCGATATAGATTGGAGGAGTGTACGGACGCCTCGCACGCCTATATACCCCTAGCCAGTCTGTTGTAGTGAAGACATACGGAGTGTTTGATACGTACCGATGAACGATACACTTCGACCACACCAGATCAGTGAAGTATAGTCAGTCAGTACGCACACACTACATACCAACCGACCTTTAAGTCACATTCAATTCAACACAATCACAATGCTAGCAGCAGCCGACATGACAGACATAGACAGCACACAACAGACCACTCGTGCGTTCTCCCACACCACCAACAAGTGTCATATCCCTTTGGTGTTCAGCGAAGATTTCAGTCACGAAGCATTGGAACTGTTTGCCTTCCCCCCCGACATGATCCAGCAATTGGAATGTGGGACCAAGTTTTATATTAAAGGAAATGCAGAGGAGGATGCTGTATTGTGCACGCTCAGTGAGACGTTTATGCTGCGATCGGCGGATACATCTAACTCACTGCTGGTGAGTGAGCGGATGAATGCCAGCGAAGAGTCAGTTGTACCTGGAGATACAAAGGCGGGTATGGTTATATCGAAGGATAAAAAAGGCGGTGCAAGCGATCCAAAGGATGATAGAAGTATAGAGACAGACCCAACGGGTGGTACAAAAACAGATACCACCGATAACAGTCATGGTAATAAACGAGCGAGAGAGGCTATGCCATCTGAAGCAGCTTTCTGGGCGAGCCAAAGCCAGAGACCACGTGCCAAGGAAATGATCAAGGTGCACGCTATTGCCAAGACATGCTACGAACTCAAAAAGGTATGTACGCACTTTGCATATGTGTACTGTTATCGACACGCTACAGGCTGAAAAAGATACGCAAACGTATTGTATATGGGTACTGTTATTGACTTGCTACAAGCAGAAAACGATACGTAAATGTATTGCGTATGAGTACTGTTATCGACACCCTACAATCTGAAAAAGTTACGTAAATTTATTGCAAATGGGTTATGGAAATCTATCGCACAGGTAGTGTGATCTGTGCATATAAGAATTGTTATATGAACTCTGCCCCTTTATCTTTGTCTATGACTAAAGGTATCAAGTTATATACGTACCATACTAGTTTATATATCGATGGATGCGATAATAGGAGGATGTCAGTAATTGTTCACGCGTGTTGTTTGTTTGGCCTGCGTGTATTTACGTTTTGTTGTCGTTTCAGGCACGCGTTGCTCATGAACGTACATGAATGGGAGGGCGGTTTCACCACACGCGACGGTAAGCTGGAATATATCTGCGAGCATACATGTTTTAAATAATATGACTCAGTGATACAGGCACGGTTCTCTGATGCATATTCAGTACCATCACATACCCCTGCTGGTAGGACCACCGCATTATCAGGACACTTTGTCCCCAGCTGTCATGTGGTCGGTCCACTCGTACAAACTCCAACCTCGTCTACTTTACACGCGACTCCTTTCAACCGTACATAAACATACACATACAAACCCGTATATACATTTCAATACCAAATCCTCAATATGTTGCAACTCAATCTATACCAACGGCTGCAGACCCGACCAAGAATAGAACGACTACCCCAATTACTACACGAATGTCCGTACAGTGGCGAAGGTGACGATGCAGAGAGAGTCGGCCAGACCAAATACAGCCGCGATGAAGTGCTCGCCAGGGTGCAAGCCAGTGAGGTAGAGCTGGACGCTGCCATTGCAAGGTTACTAGTGATAGAACACGAAGGTATATATATATATATATATATATATATATATATATATATATATATATATATATGTGTGTGTTGTTAGTA